TTAGCATGTACGCTCCTCCCTTCTAGTTAAGATAATGCCTTTAAAGGGCTCTTCTAGTAGGTTTACTAATGCGTTTTTATTTTTTTCTGAAAGCATGCCAATTTCTTGCTAGCATGCTTCCTCCTTCCATAACCACAGTTTCACTGATTGGAGGTGCAATTTCTTTTTCCTGTTTAGTGTCTTAAAAAGATGCGCAAAGTAAATTCTGCGCCAAGAAGAAAAGTTCAGTAGTGATGGCTGAAGTGAGAGATGGGGAAAATTTTCTCAAGGTCAAGTCTAAAGCCAGCCTCAGAGAACTTTCCACTTTTGAAAAACATGCTTAGGCTAAGTTGTGATAGTTAAGAGAAATTTTCTTGTGATATGTATGTAGATATGATTTTAATGTTGCTTCTTAAAAAACACTGTCATATGTATATCCAAAAAATTACATCTAAAGCAGTGTTTTCTTTCTCATCTTGACTATTTTCTGCAGGTTTTTCACGTATTCCCTGATTATTTAAAGCATGCAGAGGATTGAGTCCTCCTAATAGCTTAACCAGTAGTCTCAAAATCTACCAACTCGCTTAAGTCAGTGAAGGATTGTCTGCTTCTTGAAATAAGATGCTAACACCTGATTTAGCTGTGAGACCTTCCATTCTTATGTTGTATCACTCTTGTTTACTCTGCTAGAGTAATTTAAGTGCGTTACAATATATTCCCCCTAAATAACATTCAACTATTTGAATCAATAATTTTGTTTATTTTTTAAATATGATTCCCTTACTCCCTTACTTCATGACTATTTTCATCTTCTTCTTGTGCAGATTTGGGCATAGGGGGAATGCTCAAACCATAAAAAATATTGCCTTCTATATTTCAGTGCAATAGAAAAGTGTTTAGAAAAGCAGACAATTTTCTCGTCTAGAATTAGACTCAAGACTCTATCAGCGTCCACTTCAAACTGTCTGACAGCCACAGTTCTTGCTCTATTACTTTAGCTGGACTTTTGATTAAGCCAGCAAACACATATCTTCAGAGACATCTAAGCATTTAATATTTTTTGAATGTTTAATTCCAAAAATTCGAAAGAAGTTTGGATGGTTGAGTTCAGACTCTCAAAGGATTTTCTGAATTTATGAACTCCTAAATTAATGTGTGATTTAATCCATATTGCCTACAGCTTAAAAGGCTAATATCTTACTGAAGTGAAGGCCAATGCTTCAAGCTTTCCATTATTATTGTGACATAAAAGAGATTTAGGATGTCATCAGTAAAATGTGTTTGTACTTAGCATTACAGAGGTTAACCAGTGAACTTGAGTTAGGTACCCATTACTGCTTGGCTGTACCTGGAAGAATTGATTGCCTAAATAAATAAAATAAAGTATTAATTGGAGCTGTATTTATTAGTCTCCCTCCTTCTTGTTCAAAGTTTGACAGAGAAGGGGTCAGAGTCTTTCAAGTGCCTGTTCTGACTGAGAGAGAAAGGTGCAAGCAGCACCTGCCCGTGGTTTCTGAACTGGGAGGGAATTGGGCAAGGCCAACTGTCATGGGCCTGCCAGGGCAGTGAGCTATGGGGAAGCACTGGGCACTCAGGAAGTAAGGCTATCAAAGCCAGCACTATTATGTGCATGTGCCAAGGAAATGAATCAAAGCTTTCCACAGAATTTTATAAGTGGAATGGCACACTGTTTTATATAAGCATGTATGTGCATATCAATTTCATCTGCTTACATTGGAGGTCGTATAAATTCTGATGCTTGGATGACTCTGAATTTCTTAATACCTGTACATAACAAGACATCCTTGTTGTTAGATCAGTGCAGTGAGGAGTATTATTTTACTTATATGTGCATGTAATATAGAGTCTAAAAAATTAAAATTGCTCACTTTATGTTTATAATATCACACACAATGTGTATACAGAGAACACTATTCATGTTCCAGCTTCAGAATTTTGAATTTTGAAGCTAATTTAAAAATTACTTCTATTTTACAGGGGATCTTTTCTGTGCAAGAGAGCACAGGGTGCTAGGATGAGGGTGCAAGCGTGAGGGTGAGGGAAAATAAAATGTACATTGACACATAATTAAACTATGTCATACACGCACATAAGAAAAGTTTGCAAGGAACAAGAGATTTTAGAGATAAAGGCTTTCAGAGATTTGATTTTTTAACACTAATGAAATCCTCTTAGATATTTCTTATTAAAAATTTCTGGTTTTCTTTAAAGGGTAAAGATCAAGGAATTTCTTCCATTTGTGAAAGCAAATTTTTCCTATCCAAATGCTTGGGGGAATTTTTGAATATCCACAAAAGTAGTGATTCAGAAGAGCTAGCAGTAATTTCACATCTGCTTACCACAGGCTATTACATTTAATTTAAATATTCCTGTATTGAGCCTAGTAACTTGTCTTTGACTGAAGCACAGCTACTTGAAAAACTGCAGACATTGATTTGAAGGCATAAAAGAAGGAAAAATTACTCCTCTTTTTTTTGTGAAATTTATTTCCCATAATAACCACTTCAGTTTTTGAGATATATCTGTCGTTCTTTATAAGCTGAGTTTCTGTGGCTGTGACTCTTATGTATTTGTTCTGGTTATATTTTTCTTTCCAGTCTGAAAGAGCTCTTCAGACCTTGATATTTTCTCCTTGTGAAGAACTCCAGACTCTCCAATCAGGCCAGCTCTCAGTGTTCTTTTTGATCAGCTAGCTGTTTTGCGCTCTCTATGTTAAACACAGTAACAATTTTCTCCACTTAATTGACTTTTTTTTGTGGTACATTAAGGTGTGTTTTCTGTATTTTCATAATCCTCTTTTTTTTTTTTTTTTTTTTTTTTTTACTGTGAACCACGCAGTAATTCCAAATTTCAGTATTCAGTGATATCTTCAGAACTAAAATCACCATTTTACTACTCCTTTACAGTCAGCTAAAAAGATCAGTCCATTTTAGCACAGATTTGCTATCTGAGTGTTTAGTGAGTTTTTCTTCAGTCTTATAACACATCTACGTTCAGAAGTGCTTTTTCTTTTTTCCCAAGGGAGAAAATTCTTAGTCTGTTAATGTGTCTTGTATTTGTTTTTCCTCACCTTGTCTTCTCGTATTTCTGTTTCCACTGTGTCTTATGGGCTGTAATATGGCCTACAAGACAAATAAACTCCTCTACTTGAGGACATGTTTAAGGAGGTTAGTTGTAGATAAGCCCAGCTCTGACTGGTGGGTTCTTTCCCATCTTTATTCTGCCTTTGATCTTGGAGAATCTCACATGAGCGCAGAGGGAGACCAGAGTAAGGGGTAGAGCACTCACGGCTGTAGAGCACTATCCCAAGAAGCAAGTACCAAGAATCTTTGCAGTCATGTCAGCAATTGCTGCAGACTGTTGGCATCTCAGTTGGGAGGTTTTTTACCTTCTATTCCCATTCAGTTCTTGTTTCTGTGCTTTGAACCAGCAATTCTGCTTTATTTTCTCAATTAATTCTAGTAAGAGTAGCATAGAAGAATGAACGCTATTTTTCACCCTTCAAGTTGGTCATTAATTACATACTGGCCTATATTTTAATTAATATTTGACTTACTGACTAGGCATATTTTGACAGCACTTTCAAGCTCTGCTAGATATAGTTTTTTCAAATTAATTTTGATTTTACATGTCACAGTTTTAAAGACAAATAGACACATTAAACAACATGTTTTTAAGCTGAACAGATTAGATCTAATATTTCCTTTGTAAGCTCATTAACAATGAATAACAATATCTAGCTGGATGTGTTTCTGTGTGTGTTGGATGTATGCGTTTTAGTTTGGGCACACATTCAAAATATGAGAGTGAAATAATTTTGAGAAGGAAAATCTGTCATTGAATCTTGTAATAAATTGATGGCAATGAGCAAAAGTAACTTTCACTACACAGTGAAAGGGGAAAAGCATTTCAGAGAGGAGAGTTAAGTATATTCCTATGTTAATAATGGAAATGAGAGAGGCTCTCCTTCATGGTTTAGGTTAGACATAAGGAAGAACTTTTCTCTCAGAGAGTGGTCAAACATTGGAATGGCCTGCCCAGGGAGGTGGTGGAGTCACCATCCCTGGCAGTGTTCAAGAGACGTCTGGATGAGATATGGCTTAGTGCTTGTGGTAGCAATGGTAATGGGAGGACGGTTGGACTAGATGATCTTGCAAGTCGTTTCCAACCTTGTGATTCTATGATTCTCTGATTGATGCTTTGTGTCCATAGTAGAGCTGGCAGCAGTCCTCTTCACCCTGGTACAGAACCTGTGCCCACAGAGTTAAAGTTAGCATTATACAGAAGAAAGCATGGTCCTGTTTAAGATCATATTTCTCTGTGTAGGTTAAGGTTCTCGCTACATGGAAAAAACAAATGCTTCATTTTGGTGAAATTAAAGGATGCAGAGAAGTCATTGCTATGATACTTTTTTCCATTGAGATATCCTGCTTAAATAGTTATCAGCTTTTATAATAGAAGTTGTGGAAGAGTAGGCAGGGAAAATCTGGAGATGAAGGAGGGGAAATTGGAAATGTGGGAGAAAAGAAGATAAATTGCTAGAACTTGTACAAGATGGCAATCTAGCCCAGCAAAAGTAACTATTAACAGAGATTCCTACATCCATGAAATGTCTATTGCTACAACAAAACAAACAATACATTTGTAAATACTGACAGTTAGCAATAAGAAAAGGAAACACAAAACAATTTTGTCACTTGCAAATGTAACGATGATATTTGCTTGTAGATGTAGTTGAGAAGATAGCATGGAAATCATTGTTTGGATTATTAGATTAAATTTATTCATTATCTGGTTTTATGCGTACTGGATAGCTGTAACTGATCATGCAGGTTGAGGGACTGAATGAAAGGTGTTTACTGTTAATTCAAGGGTCCTGAATATGTGCACTTCTGTCACAAATTAGGAATGATAGCCAAAAAATGACTGCAGATTGTCTGAAAAACTGTTACGCATTTGAATGTCCTCAGTCATATAAACCTTACTTTTTTGTCTTTCAGATATACAAAGATGAAGACAGCAACCAACATCTACATTTTCAATCTGGCTATGGCAGATGCACTAGTTACCACGACTATGCCTTTCCAAAGCACAGAGTACCTGATGAACTCTTGGCCATTTGGGGATGTGCTGTGTAAAATAGTTATTTCGATCGACTATTATAACATGTTTACCAGCATATTCACACTGACCATGATGAGCGTTGATCGATACATTGCTGTATGTCACCCTGTGAAGGCTCTGGACTTCCGTACTCCTCTCAAGGCAAAGATAATCAACATCTGTATCTGGCTGTTGTCCTCATCTGTTGGCATATCTGCCATAGTTCTCGGAGGTACCAAAGTCAGGGAAGGTGAGTGTGAGCATGCAAAGCGGAGACTTCATTTTATTTGAATGATGTAAAACATTGCTTGGAATATTGACTAAACCTGATTGATTTTGACTTTGGTAATTTGTGCAAACTCTACACATAGAAGATCATTCACATTCCTTGTTTCAAAAAGTGTGCCTAAATTTCTGACATTTTGAAATATGGCGTATAAAGAATTTAAGCTCAGATATCCTTGCCAACTTAAAGAATCAAGTGCACTTTGAAGCACTATATGTGCTAGACTGAGACCATAAGAAAATAACAACAGACAGCAGGGGGAAGTAGTCAGGTATTTGAACATGGCTGAAAATTCAAAGACCAGATGAAACTTGAAATGTAGGCTGAGAGTTCTTTCTGTAGGCATTGTGAGAGTAGTTCTGATGAGGTTTCAAGAGCAGAAACTAGTTTGCTTCTCATTAGCATTACTATTAAAGCTTGGGAGCTTTTTGTCAGCAACCATTTCACAGAACTTAAAGATTTGGTGAAAAAAGGAAGAAAGACAGTAGCTGGAGAGAAAAAAGGTAAGCTAAATGCTAAGAAAATGACAGTGTCAGAAATTCTTATTTAAAAAGGAGTAGGACATGTATGTAGACTTGGAAAGGCTGAGAAGCATCAGCAGAGGAACCAGGAACACAGAGCATGGCAGGGAAGCAACTACAGAACATGAAGTCAATGAATGTGACCATGGAGTGCTGTAGGCTCTGTTGAAATTTGCAATCTGTGAAGGACTGCAGATTTAACCCCTATATCCAGTGACTCTTTACTATGTTCTGCTAGGGAGTTAATCTTATTCTGAAATCCTTGAAAAGAAAAGGGGTGATATGTACTTCCTACCAGCAGGTATAGCAGCAATATGGGTGCAATACTGTGTCTTCAAAACCTCTAATGTATGTCCTGGTGTTGAGGACATTCTGTTATGGATGGCTCTATGAAATACAAGGCATACATATTTATTTGGTAGTAGTGTTGTCTGGGATGTTACTTTTCTTTTGACAAATGATTAACAAATTGCTCATTTAGCTGCCTATTCCAGTAGAAAGTTTTCACTCCTCCCAGGAGAACTGGTAAACTTTACATAAGGGCACAGTTTTATCCGGGAGAGAAAATAAATGCAGTGTGTTTAACTCTTTGGCATAGATCAGTGCAAACAAAACAATGGTGTTCATTAATAAAATAGCTGCTCAAGTGCTGTTTTATTTGATTGAGGATATTCAAATTCTTTTTTTTCTGTTGGTCTTACAGTAGGTATGTGAAAGGAGAGCATCTCTGGAAACATCTTTCAGACATTTGGGAGTTCAAGTTTCCCAATTTGCAGTGCTGTAACTCTTCTTCCCTATCAAGTTCTTACAGGCTATATAAAGCCATGTGCAGCTCAGGAAAAAAACACTTCAGAACATCTGTGAGAAGAATTTTTGTCTGTCTACTTAAGAAATTCTGAAGGTTATAAAACATTGGCCAAGTGTTTTGTTTGAAGCATGCTTAACTACCAGAATGTTCTTTTCATTTTGTAATCATCATATTTGGATCAAGGGGCTGCTCTGAGGCCAGAAACGATTAAATGCCTTTTTCACACCTCGTGGCAGGTAGATATTTTTTCCTGCAGAAACACCTATTAGAAATACAGCTGGGCCAAATGAGCTTGGAAATCACTGGTAAATGTTTGTCAGTCCCTACTGTTCAGCCCTGCTTGTCTGATCTACAGTGCCTCTTGAGCGTTTATTACCAGTTATTTTTTCTGGTGTGTTCATGAATTGTGCTGTGGCAAAGGGGAGAATACTAAGATACTCCTTACAGCAGGAGCTCAGGACAGAAACTTTATTTTACATTGGTGATAATAGTTGCTGTTTATATGCTACAGGGCCTCTGTTGGGTTTGGATTTAAACAACATCAAACAGAAACTGACTATATTTAAAGCTACAAACCCATGCTCAATTAGTCCTTTTTATTCTCACAATGCAGGATTTCTCCCTGCAGTGTCCTTCCAGATGCATTTTCCTTATATCTGTATAAATTTTCACTCTCTGGACTTAATGGAGCCTTTATTGCTGAAGAAGCATTTGCTTTAGAAAAGAAAAGGCTCCAGTTTAATAACTCAGTTGAGTAGAGAGAAGTATGAATGCCTGAAGGCAGTAGGTTACTAAGACATTTAACAGAAATAGATATCCTGTACAAGGATTGAGATGAATCTTAAGCGGTAGCTTATCAAATATTTTAATATACCTTTATACAAAAGTACCATCCGAAGTGAAGTACTTTTCTTTAAGTACATTGAAATATTGGAATAGCTGGCTTCAGAGTGGGACAAGACACTGAAATTTTAAATGCTCATTTTGTGACACTGTACTCTACTTAGTTCTGAACTTCTTCAGGCAGAAAGTAGCCCAAAAGAACCCTGCATTTTATTCTTTCCTCAAACACCTGAATATGATTGTGATATTGTGTATCTCTGACAGGGATATTTGTTGGCCATCAATGTAAACCACGAAAAAGTAAATGGATTCCATATGGCATCCATGTCATTGGGAGAGACAACACTATGAATTTAGGATAAGACTTAAGTAAATTGTTATGAATCTTGAACAGCCATTACGTTTATATTCAATAATTTATTGGCTCCTGAAATACCATTGTCATTTACAAAATTATATAAAGTGTAGCAGGCATAACTGTATTTAGGGGTCATGGACCAGCATGATTTTTTTTCTGTCTTCTTCTGAAGGAGATAAAGCATTTCTTTTGAGAATTTGGATTTTGTGTTGAAGGATATGGTTTAGTGAGAACTATTGGTGATAGGTGGATGGTTGGACTGGATGATCTTGTAGGTTTTTTCCAACGTTGGTGTTTCTGTGATTCTGTGAATATTCTTATTAAAAAAGCTTCCAGAATTAAAATTGAATCAAGTATACTAATGCTTTTTTTTTTTTTTTTAACCTTCTCAGAGTATATTTATGCCTATATTTTATTTTTATTTTTGTGTATATTCAATTTAATATTGTATTAGTATTTTTAGTACTATTATTATATTATATTTAGTATTATTATATTTGTACTTATTTAGTATATTAGTATATCAATACTTATTTTAATACTAAAATATTTGCTTATATTTATAATACAATTAATTACACATTTTTTATCTCAGTAATTAAGTGCAGTTTAAATATCTTTCACTGTAAAATTAAAAGATTTTTTTCAATGAAAAGCAATGTCAAAATTATCTGTTCAAATTCACAGGATGTGAAACATTGTAAACCTTTTTTTTCCAGATGGTTTTGATTAGGATAGAATAATGTTGGCACAATAAAATTTCTAAGTCGTTTCTGATTTTTCCTTTTCTATTACTGGAAGGGCTGCCTGGATTCTGAGCCCTTTGCTGGGGGATGGTGGCTAGGCTATACTTGCTCTTCCACCTGCATCTGAAGGTTGCAGGCTTTCATTTCAGCGTGACTCCAGATGTTCAGCAACACCTACCCTCTCAGAAGTGGCAGCAAAACGCATGGATTCCTCTGGCTTTCTCAGGAAGATTTGATTTGAATAAACATCTTAATCAGCAGGAGCTTTTTCTAACCTAATAATTTGGATAAATCCCTGAAATTAGCTGTGAAGAGGGACAGTTTCAGTGAGTGAATGGATGTGGCGTAGAGCAGTCATCCCTGATCAACCACAGCTCACAATTATCTCAGCTGCACATCTTACTGGTCTAACTGTTGTACCCTCATCCTGTTTTGATTGCTGCAGCTAGGCTGTGGTCTACTACAAATAACAGTAGTAATCAATGTGGAAGTTTCCTTGAAGATCATTATTAAAGTTTCTAGAATAAAATATCAGAAGAGCAGCTTACTTTGTCAACATATAATCACAGAGGATTAAGAGAAGTTGATTGAAAGCTTCAGGCCTATGACATTATAATTGTGTTATCAGTTTATCATTCTGCGTCAGTCTTGAAAGATGTCTTTTCACTTTTCAGCTTTCAGAATCATCCATTAGTTATTATATTCTCTGAAACAAAATTTCAAAATATTTAGCTTCATTTTCAACTTCTTATTTGTTATTTTAGAATTTAACTCATCCAGTGACACCTTTCTGATATCTATCCATGGACATGTCTGTATGATACCATAAGGATAGCTTCACACGCAGGCACACGCAAACAGCCCTTCTTCACAACAATATCAGCAACATCAGCTTGGTTTGTGAAACATTTTGATAGCAAGGAAATACAGTTTGATGGATTTTTTTTCTGACTAGTCTTACGGAGACATATAAAAAAGTGATATGCAACAGTGTATTGAAGCTTTCCACCCTTTGGTCTGATTCAACATAGCCAGTAGATACCAGTTTGCAGAGGAGTGATGAATTCCCTAGGGGAAAAAACAAAACAAAAGCAAACCAAAGAATAATGCAGATTTGGCAGGAGAAAATATAAGATACAATTCAGAGTGAAATACCTTGTGTTACCTTGGCTTGTCTTCAGTGAATTTTAACTGCTGATAGTAGTTATAAATTTACCCCTTGTTTTGCTTTGCTATTTATCTTATCTCTTGTTTTGCTATGTGGTTTATATGCTGGAAGGTGGCCATGAGGTCAGAAAATGAAACCTCAAATATTTCACACCTTAGCAGCCTCCTGTCAGATGGAATATTTCTGGGACATAAAATAATGTGACAGCTCGTGACTTTGAATCCTAGCATAGGCAAGGAGAAAGGAAGTGGGATGGCACCGGTGGTTCAGATCCCACAGTTGCTGCGCAGTCTGAATTTTCAGTGATGTGATCTGCAAAAAGAGCAGCTTCCATTTGACTCTGCACACAAACTTATTTTGTTTGCTTCTATGTGACTGAAAAGAATCTGTTGCCAGGAATTAATTTTTTCTGAATGCAAGAATTTCCGTGTATTCAATTTACTCTGAAGAAAACACATGGGAAAAGATTACTACTCAATTATCGCACATTGGCAAAATCTTCCTACAATCAAAAGCTCATTGCACTGCACCATTCATAATATGAAAAATCTGCCTCCTTACGCAGACAAAATCTTGTATAGTTTGATAGTAATTATGAGTTTTCCACTCCATTAAACCTGGTATACTCTTCTTGGCTTTAAATCTCAGTGAAATTCAAATGGAAAAAAATTGTTCATCCTATTTTATAAATTTTAATTTTTCTGTCTGTGTTCTTAGCTCCTCCTGTGGGAAATTACATTTATACAATGTTATGCAGTTTAAAAAACCCATCTCTGTGTAAGTAATTTCCAGAGAAAGCTGTGTAAAACCAATTTCAGTGGTAATGTAAAGCTTTTCATTGAGTGATTTAATGATAACTTCCTTTATTAGTATCACAATGCAAGATAATCACTTTCTCTAGCTTACACCATGATAATTATATTATTTAGAATATCTAATAATAAAGCAATTTTCTTTTTCTTGCTTCTTTCTCTCCTAGATACTGCTAGCACTGAATGCTCCTTGCAGTTCCCAGACAGAGACTATGTGTGGTGGGACATCTTCATGAAAATCTGTGTCTTTGTCTTTGCATTTGTTATTCCAGTGCTCATTATAATTGTTTGCTATACTCTGATGATCCTGCGCCTTAAAAGCGTACGACTTCTCTCAGGGTCTCGAGAAAAAGATCGAAACCTGCGCCGCATCACCAGGTTGGTTCTTGTGGTTGTGGCAGTTTTTATTATCTGTTGGACTCCTATTCACATTTTTGTGCTGGTTGAAGCATTGGGGGATGTGTCCCACAGTACTGCTGCTGTATCCAGCTATTATTTCTGTATTGCTTTGGGGTACACCAACAGCAGCCTCAATCCTATCCTTTATGCCTTTTTGGATGAAAACTTCAAGAGATGTTTCAAAGACTTCTGCTTCCCCTTTAAGATGAGGATGGACAGGCAGAGTACCAGCAGAGTTCGAAACACCGTGCAAGACCCAGCTTATAGGAGGGAAGCAGATGGGACAAACAAACCTGTATGACTAGTCGTGGAAATGTCGTCTTACTGTCCGCAAGAGAGAGAAGAGTCCAATGATCTTGGACTGACGCAGGTTACCACTGCAGTTTGAACTAGACTCACACAGACATTTCTGGAACATTTAAGAAGTCCTAGTGGGTTGAACCAAGCCAATTACTAACACACAAAGACATTCGGAAAATAAGTTCAAGTGTAGAGGACCTGATTAGTGGTCAGATTTTGGCACCATAATTACGGTAGTTGACCAGGTGCTACTACACATTTCTTGGGAAAGAGGAGAAACTTATTATTGTGTTAGGTAAAGAAAGTTCTGGGTTTTCTCTTTACACTGTAAGATTATCTTAACTGACATTAAATTATAACAGTAAGTTATGCCAAAAGCATAGATTTACTCAAATATTGATTGCTTCTGAAGTATACAGGTTGACAACATGATTTGTCATATTCTTTTAAAGTGAAAAGTGTTATTTATATTTCAGCAGAACACTACCGCATTCCCCTCAACTAATGTATTTGTAACATTTGTCTGTTCTGTGAAAATGCAGCTTTAGCATGAACTGCCTACGTATCAAAATGACTTTATTATGTCTGTGTATGGTAAAGCATTGCAGTGTTTAAAAATACTGGGACTTAAGGAAAATTGTTAGTATATCTTTTGCACGTGATTAATCACCTGTATGTAATGTTTTCTGTGCGGTTTTCCAAGATGTTTGTATACATCTGGATAATATAATATTCATTTTCAGAGTGTATTTTCATCAAGAGACTAGAAAGCTTCACATTCATAACTTGTTAAAAGTCTGATGGAAAACTGTGCCACATTCTTTATATGGGAATAAATAGTTCAATTTCATTTTCAGTAAATGGAACATACATAAAAATAGAGCTGTTCTCATTTTCCTGAAGAAATTAGCAGATTCAAAATAAATATTCAAACAGCTGTTGATAGAAACTAGTGAATTAGTAAATAGATTAACTAGACTGATACAAAGGAGATGAAGACTAAATATATTGTCTGGTTTCTTATAGAGTAATAGAATCATTTGAGTTTGAAAGCTCCCTTACAGGTCATCTAGTCCAACTCCCCTGCAGTGAACGGGAGCATCTACAGCAAGAACAGGTTGCTCAAAGCCCTGTCCAGCCTGACCTTGAGTGTCTCCAGACATGGGTGCATTCACATCTCTGGGGCAACCTGTTCCAGTGCCTCACTATTCTTACTGTGACAAACTTCTTTTTAGATAGCCAATCTAAATCTCCCTCTATTAGTTTGAAACCATTTCTCCTCATCTTGTCCTATCACAACAGACCCTGCTAAAGAGTCAGTCCCATTCCTTCTTACAGCTCCCCTTTAGATACTGAAAGGCCACTACCAGGTCTCCTCAGAGCCTTGTCTTCTCCAGGTTGAACAGCCCCAGCTCTCTCAGTCTGTCCTCATAGGAGAGGTGTTCCATCCCTTGGGTCATTTGTGTGGCCCTCTTCTGGATGCACTCCAACAGGTCAATGCCTTTCCTGTACTGAGGACTCTACATCTGGATGCAGCATTCCAAGTGAGGTCTCATGAGCACAGATCAGAGGGGCAGAAACACCTCCCTCACCCTGTTGGCCATGCTTCTTTTGATGCAGACCATGCTTCTTTTGATGGTTCTCTTTTTTTAAATTTTTTGATAATTACATATTTTCTTTGATGCAGTCCTATGAAGCATTTGTTTTCCTATGAAGATGGAGAAACTAAAGCACAACAACACTAATTATCAACCTGCTGAGGATAATCTGAGGTAAAACTGAACCTAAACTTCAACTTGTAGTTTTTCATCTTGGCCACCAGATATCTTTCTGGTACCTTTAGTCCTTATGCAAAATCATGTTCGGTGTGGGTATCCTCACTGCATAGCAAATTTTCTGAGAAACACAGACTGATTTGGTCCTACTGGAGCAACCAACAAAAAATCCTTTATGCACACAGGTATAAATAATGAAATTTGTTCTTGTAGCTGACAGTATAGTGGAAATTTAATCCTCTGGATAACTTCATCATCTTTTACTATTAATTCAGTCACATATGTAACATATTTTTGTTATCAAGCAGATAAGTGTAGTGCTTCTACATTGTCAGACCAGTGCTGAACAATCACTGGCGTCTACTCCCATGCTTTTGCTCTGGGAAGCAGAGGCTTGAAATTCTGGCTCTGGAGTTTAAGTACTTGGGAACTAACTGCACTCATGCAATTATCTTTGTTAACAAAAATAGTGAAGATAATTATTTTTTGACAAGTCTAGCACTTCCTGACAGTGTATGCATAATAAGTGAATAGCTGACCTCAGGATACTTGATTTGCCCAAGGAAATGAATGATGCTCAGAAATCTGATTGTATAACTCTATCTTCCTACTCTATCTCCATCTTTTTTTTTTTTTTTTTAATTTAATTTAATTTTTTTGTATTTTTCTCTGCAACATACATACATAATAATAAATAAAGTTCTGACTTTTAAATAGTCACAAAAAAAAAGAATGCTTGCGGTAAAAATTGACAGTCAGAGGTATTTATCAAATTACCAGTAAATGTACTGTGAAAGAACTAGGGCTTAATTAATTATTTGCACTCCAAATCATGTGTTTTTTTCATATTATATTATTTTGCTGCATGCGTATATCTGTCTTACAATAGAATTATTACTCTTCACATCATGTACCCTGATCTGAATTGCAATGAAAAATCGATGTTCTTAGCGTGTAAGAAAGAAGCATTCTAACTGTTGATTTTTTAATGAGTATGTTTTGAGTAATAAGAGCATCTTCCCTATAATAGGTGGAGGAAAGAATGAGATCTTAACATTTTTTTCTGTGTTATGGATATACAAGGCTTTTACAGCCATATGATCTGTGTTCTAAAGATCTCTTTCCATGGAAGATTAACAGTCAGATTAGTCCAGATGTAGCTGAAGGGCGTCTTGGAGGATTTATTGCAAAATTAGGTGCTGTTCATTGAACAGTGAGGGAAAGTTGCCCAAGGTTTCTTCCTTTCTTTTTTTTCTTAATAGATACAATTGATGAGATTGAAGATATAATAAATAGAATAATATTATGGTTTTGCTCACTGGGCCTGTTTCCATATGATTAAATTTCCGTTTTTCATTCAGAAGTTCTCAGACTGGAATGACCAACTGACAAAAACAATTATTCTCAAAGTCATGCATGCTGACTTTGGAAACCTGTACTGAAGCCTTGTAAAATACCTTAATTTCTGTGTGATTCTGGATGAATATTTTGCCTTCACTGTTGTGTAGTCTCCTACTTCCAGTCCTTGTGGTGGGCAAGGGACAGGGCAGTGGGGAAGGGGTTTGCTGCCCCACAGCTGCTGGAGAAAAACAAGATGGGATAGATGTGCGCAGGCAGCCTGGCAATCAGCCTTTCCCACTGCAGCTGGCCTCAACTCTCTTCCTTGACAGGTTCCAAAAATTTGGTGTTGCAGATGTATAGTACAAGGTCATTTGACCTTTTAGTGGGGTCATCTCCGTATTGTCTAGAGGGAGTGTTAGGGAATCACCTTCTCTATTCCCTGATTCATTCAATTCCAGAATCTTCTACATGAGAAACAGTATTCTTCTTCAGTGCTTTTGTCAGTGCTTCAGAAAGCACAGCAGAAGAGCATTACTGCTGAGTTACTGCAGGCTAAATGTCTTCTCCATAATTTCAGACTTCTGCTGTGTAGAGGTACAGGATTAATTAGAGAATGGAGGGCTGTTTCATGTCTCTTTCCATTTCAAATTTAGCTAACTGCTTTGCACTTGCTGTTAGACAAGCCCTATGGTTAATTTTGTTCATCTTTTAATGTAGATTGAAAAGGTGTTAAAAATAACTGGAATTCTTACTCAAATGTCTCTGAACCTGGGGATTTAACTGAGTCCATGGATGTTGGTGTATTAGAGTTGCTCCTCAAGGAAAAACAGTGGTTTTATTCTTCTATTATTTATTTAAGCTGGGAAAAATACCAGTAAAATCCTTGTGCGTCAAATGTCCTTCACATTTCTTATCTTCTACACATTGAAAATGTCTCTTCAAATATGAAAGCTATTGCCTAGGTTTGACATTACCCTCTAAAAACCAAGCTGGTCCCAAGGTTTTCCCTCAGCTACAGCTCAGTAATGCATTTTTAATTACGGTACAAGACTATATTACATTATTATTACTATATACATTATTATTATTACTATATTACATCAGATTTTTTGTTTGTTTTGTTTTGTTTAATGGAAGTCATGATTTACTCATAATCAAGTGAAAAGACACAGAAAGAGAGACAAAATATGTAACTAATTTCCAAGAGAGAGACAATCTAGAAATTGGAAGAAAGTATGGTTACTGCCATGCAAATGCAGAAGATCTTACCTACAGTGATGACAACATGAAGGATGGGACGCTTGCAACATGAGAAACGATTTTGCATTGCACGTGCACACTTGTGTGTGTGGAAAATTGTTCAGTGTCACAGTGCTACATTCAGCATACATCAAACTGAAAAGAAATATTTATCACATAGTTTTCTATCTACATGGATAAATGAAATATTAGAAGAAGATTATGTATCATTACTATAAAACAAATAAAGGAGATGTTCTGATGCTGAGTGTGAAGAGAAGCAGATAACACCTCAGGCAGTTTCTGCTTCAGTTTGAGGTGATTAATGCTGAATCTTCTTTTGGATTGCGTTTTTGTTCAGCATCTGCCAAAGTACCTAACTTAAGCTGCTGCTCACACTGTCTTACATTGAAAAACCGGGCAGAGAAGGAATCTTCAGATTTGCATAGATTATGCTCTTTTCCATGTTTTTCTGTGCTGATACCAGATGGAACCAAAAGAGCAAACTTTAACATACTATGAGAATAGTATTATTTCCCGTAGTCTCAGAGAAAATGTGGTTTGTGTTGTTCACTGTCACAAATCTAAGAGAATTGACTGTTCAGTGTCCTAGGGGAAAAAAATTGTCATACAATCTACGTCCCATGGGTCAAAGAAAAGCTTTCAGAAATGCTCATGAAATGATGTATAGAGCTTCTAGTAGGCCTTGCTTATGTTATTTCATTTGTGCCTTTAAATACCTCTTTCCTACAGTGATGTAACACTTTATTTTAAAGATACTCGCTGTTAATTAATTCAAAGGAAGACAGGTTCTATTAATTTATTAACAGAATCTTACTCTTGGAAAAACAAAGATGTCAATTAAATGTTGTCACCACAACAGCTCCTGATGGGATGTCCAACATGCCAAACTGCTTTTCAACTTCAAAGAGAATGTTCTTTAAAAGCAGTCACTTGTCAGGGAACAGAACTTTTCCTAGAATTTCAGACCTGTTTGGTTCTGCCAAGTTATGGTCAATGTAAAAAGACCACTACTGAAATGATACAATTGCTTGTTGTAGCATATTTGACAGACTCCATATGAAAACAATGTACTGACAATATATCCTTTATGTATAAAACCAATGGCTAAGACAAAGTCCAAAAAAATTACTTATGTAGTTGAATTTTAAAGTTAGGAGGATGTTTGACATTATGCCAATATGAAGCAGGCCAGGGATATAACACAAATTCTGGTTTATAGGATACATAGCAGGTGCTACCACCGGGGAAGTTGGTGTCCAGCTTTGTTCCAAATCCATACTCAGAACATCACGGCACTTTTATGGATGTCTCTGTGTGAAGGATATCCAGGGATTTTAGGCTGAATCGTTGTGTGATGGGAAAGGAAATGAGCTTAAGCAGCAGCTTTTCTCAGTAAGAGTGATAAATTAAAATTTTAAAATGGAACCATTTTGGTCTACACCCAAATTTTAAACATTTTCTTACCCTAATGTCAATATTCTACTGTGTGTTAATTGATCTAATTTTGAAAAACAGAAGAGATGAAAGATGAAATTATTCTGTTATTCTGTGATTTTGTGATTCTGATTCTGTGTTTTCTTCTTCATTATCTGAAACAGTGCTCTGCATGTGTGATATCAGGATAATAAACAAAATAATCCTGTTTTCAAAAAGCACACATTTTTTCCTCATCTCGAAAATCAATGCAAATACTTGCCTGAAAGTATCCATGACTAATCATAAGGTAACTGGGAAAGTAAACACTTTCCTCCATTCTGCCGTGTCTATACCACATGCAAGCAGGCTATGTTACTCAGCATTACTTAATACCATACTTCAGGAATTATCTCCAGAGGCAAGTCTGTTTTATTGTGATTGCAAATAAAAAGCTAAAGAAACTTTTCCAGAGAACTGGTAGTTAGAAAATTTTACATGAAGGAGGGAAAAATATCTTTTTTTTTTATTTTTAATCTGCATGATTGATTGTAATTTCAGATTGATTGTATTTAGAAATTCTGGGAAAATTGCTTCCTATGGCTCTAAGTGGAAATCTGTCAGCTTTGAGCATACCCTTGGAGTAGATCAGAACTGTGTGACAGCTGATAATTAGAAAGCTGAGATTTAACATCATCTTCAAACTCTTCTATCCATTATAATGTTTGGTCTGAGACCTCCTGCTTTTTTCAGAAGGTAGCAAATATTCTCTTCTGAGGGAAAATATAAAATTTTGAGCCAATATACAGCTGTTTTGGTAATTCATAGATGTAGAGGTACATTTCTTCATAAATGATTAGTTGTGGTGGCAAGTATCTGCATTCATTTAGTAATTTAATGTTGTGAGACTAGATGTTCAGGGAGAATATAAAAATTAGAAGATAGGAGCAATAGGTTGTGTAAGTATGCATATATCTATGTGTAAACATAAGATCTCTCTTTTTTCTTTTTCCCTCTGTCTATTTTACAAAGGTTACCTCAAAGAAACAGCTGACTTTCTCATTTGTTTCTTCTCAGAAATGAAACAACCCACAGGGCTCCAGAATTAAAAATGGATTTAGTTTTGCTGTAGTCCAGAAATGATGACTGAAAGTAGATCCAGATTTCACAAATCATGGAAGTTAAAAGGTGTTCAGTTTTCATGGGGTGAAATAGAATTTTATTCTCCTAATGCTTGTTCTAAATATTTAGCTTTATATCTTTCTTCATATATGGCAGCTTGATTGCCTCGTCACCTTAAAGCGAGATTCTGTGAATATGGTAACGGGAAGATATAGAACCCTGTTAGATGTGATGTGGTGGAAAAGAGGTAGAATTAAAAAGAGAGTTTGGAGACTTCGGTGAAATACTGAAGAATTTCTTGGAAGAGATCATTGTGTCTTGAGGGGCTGCTTATTACTGCTGATGCATTTTGTTCCAGACTGTTTCCTGTCAAAGCAAATACTTAACTGTCTCTCTCCAAAGAAGCCATGACCTTTCTTTGAGTGTTTTACTGTATTAGAAGGTTTTCAAAAAGCAGCATGAAAGCATTCATGAAGGCAGTTTGATGATAGATCTGGGTTGATCTTTAGCTATTGCTGCATACTATG